GCTAAAAAAAAAAAAAAGTCAAGTTCAATTCTATATACCGCTGGAAGAGCAATGATCTGATTTCTCATCTGCTCTACATCAAATTTTGGTCCGCTACCTTCTCCGTAAAGGTCTATTCTTCTGAAAGCTTCTGCTTCTTCGCACCTTTCTGTTCTTTTGCAAGTTCTTTCTCCCTCTTCAAAACCTTGATACCCGCTTCAGCAGCCTTGGTCTCGGCCTCAAACTTATTGAGAGCCCCAGTCGAGACTCCTACCACACGACCTTCAACCGTGGCCGAGCAGCCCCAGTCGATCATGGGTCCATCACCTTTTGAGAGAAGGAAGGCTGGCTTCTTATTCCCAGCCATTGCACAAAATTCTTCTTTCGGATGCTTAACATGGATCTTTCCTTTGAGAATCCGGTCGAGGTAAGTGAAAATTCCAAACTTAGCAAGGAAAGCTGCACATGTTTCCATACTTCCGGAATCAACCCAGATAGCGCCTAAAACAGCTTCAAAGAGATCCGAGTAGAACTTTTCAGGGTGCAGTCGTGCGAACAAAGCCCAAGGGTAATGGTCGCTCTCTCTCTTAGCGATATCAATCTCGTCTCGAAGACTGTCGAACCTCTTCTCAGTCTCTTTCATCACTCGTCCCATCTCGGGCGAGCTGTGTCGCATAAACTTCCAAATGGGCAGTTTTACGTCGGTAAACACTGGTTTACCATCCTCAACCTCGACGTTGGTTCGATGCAGTCCATTATCCATGTTGGTAAACGCAAGGAAATGTGCATTGACCATTGCAGTCTTGATAAGGTGCAGAATACTGTTAGGAATTGGTGAGTTGTATTGGAACGTCCGACTCACGACCAAGTAGTCTAGGACAGCATCTCCGAGGAATTCAAGTTGTTCGTAGGACCTCTGGTGTGCATCAGCGGCATAAGATCCGTGAGTCATGGCCTCGATTAGCAACGACTTCTTCTGGAATGAGTACCCGATGAGGTCCTCCAAGGGCTCCATTGTAGGAGGTAGGCCAACATCGCTGGGGGCAATGCCGAAGAGTGTGTCTCTGGCCATTCCTTCTTCGTGCCAGTTACAGTTAGCCCCAAGGAACACTTTGATGCACTTCAAAGCCTTGGTCATTCCTCCGTCTTCGAAAGAGGCTCCAACAAGTGCTTCAACCACGTCAGCGAGTGTTTTGTTTCCAATGAATCGTGATGCACCATCAACTGGCTGCATCTCCAGGAAATCATCTCGATATAGTGGACGCCACTTGACACCGGTGAAGGTCTTTGAAAGTATGAATTTAGATAGTCCAGATTCCAAGCAGGAGCGTTCTAGCCGTGTATTGGATACGAGTCGATCCTTGAAATTGTTCAAAAGCTCTTCGGGCCAGTTCGGGTCTGCAATGCTAGTCAGTAGGGAAATAGAGAAAGATTAAAGCTAGACTTACGCTCGGAATAGGCTTGAATAACGGTGCAAAACTTCAAGATTGAATCGCCCAAAAACTCAAGACGCTCGTAGTCAACAGGCTCTATGGCACTGGGGGCGCTGATGGCTTGGACTACCAACTGCAAGTCTGTGATACCAACACGAGCCAAAAGTGTCGAAGACAGTTCCAAGGCGATTAGCTGGATTTCTAGCTCATGAATGATCGAGGGGATCAGCATGCCCAGCTCAACGACTCGTGGTGAAACCACGTCAACTGTGGCTTGCGAAATAGGAAGTACCCAGCGGTAGGGTTTGGAGCAGGAACTCGCATTCTGGTCACCCCTCACTGCGTGGAGGAAATCCGCTCTGCGCGTCCACTGAAGCACATCCAGATACTCTTCTTCCGGAGCGTCTTCGTATTCATAGAATGGATGCCGGACCTCCTCATACCGAGGTTTCTTTTCAATTGTCTTGATATAGATAAACGGTGCATTAGTAGAATCCCGAACCAGGATTCGCTTTTCAGAGACATCGTCTAGGTAGTGTGGACTTTCTCCGAAGGGAATAGATCCTATCTGGTCCCGTGAAAGATCCTTGATTCCATAGATAACCTTGATCACATGGTCAGAATCTTCAACTTTCCAGCGATGTCCGAAATGCATTGCCAAAAGGGTCGATGTATGATCTGGCAAAGCTAAAGATTCGTCGTTGGAGATATTTCGGATTGAGGTACATTTGATGGTCCATGCTCCCTCTTCTCTGGGATAGACTGTGATGTCTCGAGGACGAGGCAGCTCAATGGGCAGAGCAATCTGGAAACGAAGCGGTGCAGCATTCTCGTGGTCGATGAACTCGTAAGTATAAAGCCACTTATCAGCATCTGAAATCCAGTTTTGCGAAACTTGAATCCATGGATTGAAGAGAAGTTCAGTGTTTGGTAAATTTCCTTTGTCTTCCTCCTTGGTTGCACCCTCGTTTATAGGCAGAAGATTGTCACTAACAAGTCCTGCTCGATATAACCCATAGTAAGCGCGGAAGGCCGCATCTTTCATGGCGTTCTTTTCAGACATCCATCCTCCTTTTCCCTGGAACTTGCGTAGATCATAGGGCAAGGCTGATGGTAGTGTCACCGTTGCACTGAACGTCGGTATTCCGTTCTCAGATATTTCCTTCTGGAACACATAGACAGGCCTTACATCCACGTAGGCTCGGCGGAAAACCTTATCGCAAAAATGCTCAAGATGTTGGCGAGCATTTTCAAGATCCAGCCTGGCGTCTGAGTTCGGAACACGAAAAGATTCCGAGCTCGTCCATTCGGCGGAAGCCTGTGCATTCAGTCGATCCAACTCTTCTCGATCGTGTTCGTAGCGCTTCTTCATTTCCTCTTCCAAAGAATCCCATTCACGAATGTCCGAAGTTGATCTCTCCAGGATAATCATCTTGGATTGTTTCTTGCGCGCTCGCCCGCGGCGTTGGATGTAAGATTTGAGTGTTGTCGTTTCATCAAAGCAGATGACCAAGTTACATGCTGCAACATCAATGCCTTCCTCGAGCACACTCGTCGAAACTAGAAGGTTGATGGCGCCTGATTTGAAAGCGGCCAGTATTTCGTTACTATCACCTGTAGGGTGTTCGTAGACGTTCTTCTTGCGTGTCTCATAAGCTGCAGACCCTACTACAGAACCAACACAGTACCGCTGTTGAATTTGTGGATGGTTTTTCAATATTGCGCAAAGGACATTAACCGCGGCGCGCGATTTGACGAATATGATACCGACCGTGTCCTTGTTTGCTGCAAGAAGTTCGTGGATCAACTTGTTAGCTTTATCAGTCAGGTTGCCTGTGCAGGGTAATCCGAGTTTGTCTGGATCACTAGCGATCCGGCGCAAGTGTCCCGCCAAATACGTTCTGTCTTCATTGGACCAGTTGTCGGTGTATGTAGTCGGTGCGTCGACTCTTTCTAGAAAGAGACTGACCAGCTCTGATATATACTGGTCTGCCGCCCAGGATCCTAGCTCATCGAGAAGATCCTTACTTTTGCTCCAGAGCTTTTTCACCTGGTTTTGCGAGAAAGTGTCGTGTTTCGCAATCACCCTTTGCAACTCAGCGTGACCACTCGCGGTCTTAACGATACGATCTTGCAGCTTAGCAATATGGGGATCTTGGGCGAGGTTCATGCTCAGGTATTCCGACTGCAGAGCCTGCATCAAGGGGGTTAGAGCTAAACGCTCCTCGACATGGTAGAGGACCCGAATTAGATCGGGCTTGTTGACGTGTTCTAATAACTCCTTGCGATTAACCGTAGGCGTAACACATCTCGCATCCATGGTGATCTCGAGCTCTCGAATCTCATCTCGTCTCGATTTAGACTGTACTGGACTTGCCGTCAGACCCAAGATGGCGGGCACAGGCTTGCCTGCAATCTTCTTCTCATGGTAAAAGTTGACCATGATCTTCCTTCCTGAACTGTTCTTTACACAATTGTGAACTGCAAATAAATCAGTAATAGTATTAATGATGCCAGCGTTGTCTCTCACCTTCATCGAACACAATCAGGGCCAGCATGTCCATTCTAACGAAAGCATGGTCAAGAGCATCCCGTAGGATTTCGAAAGTCGAAACGACAACGCGGGTGCCTTCGAGGATGACAGGCCAAACATCTTCGGACCATGCGTCTATATTCGACTGCCCGGTGAGCAGTTTCATGGATACCGATGGCATCTGTCTCTCAAGAACATCGAACTGCTGTTCACACAAACTGACGGTCTTCCCTAGAAACCAGATCATCTTTATTTGTTAGTGTTGCAAGTACACATATGTTCATTTGTTCACCAACCTTGTCCGGCGAACACCTCTCGAGTTCAGCTTGGATTCTCAGCACGGCCCTACATATCCTAATCAGTCTCTCGGTTTGTTATCGGATTCAAGGAGCAACATACACTTGGGTCTTTCCGCTTCCTGTATCCATCTAACCATGTTAGCTGACAACATTCGTATGAGAAGTACTCGATCACTTACCGCCACGATCACGTTTCTTTTGAGACTGTGTTCCAGCATCTCTCTCTGGTAACCGCGAGGATTAACAACCTCTGGATCAGGCGTCCCTTTCTTAGGTCGAAGTTTCCTGACCTTCATCTTTCCGCTCGCCTTTTCATCGGCGACGATGGATATGGTTTCGGATATTTCAACCTCGGTAGTAGGCACCTCAGCAACAACAGGGCTGTCAGGCTGTGAGGAGCTTTGTATCCCAGATTCATCGGTACTCTGCGAATCGTCGTCCGGCATTTCTTCGTCGGTGGAAGTCATCATGAGCTGCTGAGCCCCCAGGACTAACTATACTTTCGCACAAAAGATAGAGATGGAGGTTAGTGTGATGGGGAAAAGATGATCAAAATTGTATAGAAGAAAAGATCGAGGTGGTAGAAACTTTAAATAATAAAGTCAATCCATAAAGCAAAAGTTTTCTGATCTGGTGAAAGAGGATGAGGAAGACTGAAACAACATGTAGGGAGGAAGTTGTGAAGGCCCGGTTGGGAGTATCGTAGTTGGTGGTTGACACAACTGCAGGTTGCAGGAGGCCGACCTGCCATGTGAAATAGCTAAGCCCTCGAGTGATCAATCACATGTAGAGAAAAGAATGAAATGTTATTCATGTAGATAGAGAGAGGGAGGCGTAAGAGGTCGGATTGACAGTGAATCACTGCCAACAAGAGCTGTTGGTGTGGATTATGCAGGGTAGGATTTCTGAAAAGGCGCTTCAATTGTAGCCTAGGATTTGAGGTCAAGTAACTACACTTTTAGTTCAGTGTAAGCATCAAGTATACTAAAATATGCATAGTCTTGGGTGTTCCTTTACTTTTCCTTATATATAGGACTCTTCTCATTGCTTGAGGTTGATTCAAGTTGGCACTGTGGCTGCCACCCTAACTCACCGTACATAAGCGGGCAGTAAACCAACGAACGCTTAAACTACAGGGGGTATCAATTAACGAATCTATTTCATATTCTGTTCAGATAAATCTTTGGTAATTCTAGAGGATCCTGATTTTATACTGAAGTAATATCAACAGACACCGTGAAGTGATTCTACTATATATATGTATGTCGAGCTGGTGTGGTGGTAAGTGCAGCGTATGGATACGATTTATGCCAGGCAGTATTTTGAACCTTTGCATCTTTCGCTCTTACATAGTAGACATGCGGACTTGTTTTTAGAAATCTATCAACTGCCAAACACTATCTCTTCATTTATGGAACTCCCGCTACGTTCTTCCACCGGGGATGAAACCATGAATCTGTACGCCGTAGGCTTCAATGCATGGAATCAGCTCAATTTTGATACCATACCAGCTGATGAAGAGCTGGATGATTTGTTCACTTTCACCAAGGTCCTGGCAGACAAATCGGTTGGCCATGTTGTTTCCAAGATACACTATACTGCAGGTATTTATCATGATACCCTGCGTCGTTGATTCCTGTTCTAATAGTCAATAGTGCAGCGAAATGATACTTGGGCCTTGGCCGGGTCATGCCCCAGCAAGCTTCTCCATCGCGAGGCCGATAGTACATATTTGTTCGACTTACCAAGTGCCGAATCAGGAGATGGGAAAGTTTTGACTGTTCAGAACTTAGACTCTGGACATCCTACTCATGCCATTGTTCAATACCCATCGTTGGCGGCATGGGGAGCCAACGAGCACACTGAGAAATGGTCTTGCAAGTCACCGGTTCGTCAAATAGCTGCTTACGATACTGGCTTCGTGATGTTACTCGAGGATGGGACCGTACTTAGCTGCGGTGATTTTCGATTTCCAGACTGTCTTGGCCGCGAGGTCGATGAATCATGGTATGTGCTCAAGGTCGTGCAGACAAACCCTATACTGATATTTCCTAGTCCTGCCCATGTACCATGTCCTATAGAGGATCTAAGTGACCTCGGTGAATCCATCAAGAAAGTATCTGCAGGAGGGTACACTCTTGGGGCTCTGACAGACAGTGGTGGGCTGTACCTCTGGGGCATGAAACCTCCTGGTTCACAAAGTCGACACACCGCATTCACTGATCTTGGCCCTATGCCAAGCTATGTGGAAGTCGACGGGGAGAAAGACGTGCAGGACTTTGCAATTGGGGAGTCATATGCTATTGCCCTTACTACTGATGGTTGCGTTTATGTCATAGGGGATAACACTAATGGCCAGATTGGTCTTGGCAAACCCGTGAAACAGAGTGCATTATGGTCAAAGATAGATTTTATACTCCACCCAGACGAGGAGGTGGTGGCTATTGAAGCTGGTCCAAGGGCATCGTTTATAGTGACAGCAAAGACGGAATCAATATAATGTCGAAGCTCAGAATGAGCTGCCCCTCTATCATAACCAGCTCTATTGAGCCCAGTGACCCTCTATTGTACAAGGCTTCTCGTTGTGTTCATCTGCATAAGGGTAATCATAGACTCGTCAGGTAATCCTCAATCTCTTGAGGGGTCAGCTTTCTGAAACGGGGTCCAACAGCCCCATCAACGCCCTCGAGACCCAGAAGGTGCTCTGCGGGTGCACCAACAATACCTGCAACATGTTAGCATAACCTCATCTATTGGATCACTCCCAACTTACCGATCTCGATGCTGTCACCGTTCATCTCACCCTCAATGTTATCCTTCAAGGTCAACAGGGCGATGTGGATAGCATCCTCAAGCTCAAGCTCTTCCGAGTATCGCTTTTCCAAGAATGTCTTGGCTTTGGTTGCACTCTTGCCAATGGCTGTGGCCTTCCATGGGTAGTAACTGCCGGAGGGGTCGACCTGGTACAGCATAGGACCACCTTTGTGAATGCCACCAGTCTTTCTGTTGACCTTCTTCTCCTCGCTGTCCTCCAGAGTGGCCTTGTTCTCCTCCTCGGGCTCAATGCCCTCATCCCAACCAGCAATCAACAGACTAACTCCATAAGGTCGGACACCGGCTGACTGGGTGGCCTCCTGCATAACTCGGGCGACATCCTGCACCAATATTCTGGTAGGGGGGTACTCGTTGTAGATGCGCTTATACTCGGTGTGTGAAACCTTGCGTGCTCGGTCGACCAATACTCGGTAGTCGGGGCCCATACCGGAGTACACCATGCCGATGTTGGGAGTGATGTCGCTGATCTTGGAAAGGGAGCTCTGGTCGGCTAGAGGAGATGATGACTTCTTTTCGGTGGCGATGACGATACCGTTGGTGGCTTTTGCTGGTCAGTAGGAGCCCCTCATGGATCTTGAAGGCAGTGCGAACCTTTGATACCAAGGGCAGTGATACCCTGGTTTACAGCGTTGAGGGCATACTCTATTTCGACATTAGCTTCATGGGTCGAATTGACTGAAGAAAGCTTGAACTTCAAGAGGTTTCAAAGCTTTCCACTAAGCAATTACGTACCAATCTGCACCAGCTTTCCGCTGTAACATTGTCAGCGATGATGTCCCCATACAAATAGCAGTGTCGTCACCGAAACATACCTGGGGGAGAAGGTTGTGAGGGAGAAGGAGTATCTATCCGCCATAGTTCAAGTTTCTGGGTTGACAAACTCGATATAGATGTGGTGATGGCTGAACTATGGTCGTTTATCAATTCGTGGGGTTGACAAGGAGATGTCGAGCAAGGCTACAACTGGAGCTTTGGTGTTTGGCAAGCAGCTGTAGCCTCTAGGCAGGCCCAGCTGCGCGTCTAGCTCAACCGCCCGGAGCTGTATGCGGGGCAACAGATTATCCGATGACCGCGTGATGGCTCCACAGAGCAGAGCTCTTCTTAACGTTACAATTTGGCAACGGCTGCTTCGGCTTTCTTTCCTCAATCTTCTACAAAAAAAGGGCTGAGCTGGCCTTTTGCATTCTTAATGTCCTGGTCATGATCTTGGCAAGCATTTGCTTTCCCCGCTCTCCAAAGATCTTACTTAACTCTCAGCTTTGCAAAAACATGTAGGTTGCGCCTGAAACGCCTCAAGTGCCGACTACGTACTCGCACATTCCGCAACTCTTTGTTCTGTCTGCTACTTGCTGTCACTACCTTTTCTTCTTTTACATCCACAGGTTCACGTAAATCATCATGGATACGCGCCCTACTTGGGATTGGTCCTCGGTCGGGGACAATTCTGTCCCTCAAGAACCCGAACCAGAGCCACGCCGATCATCGCAATATGCTTGGACTGCTCCGCAATCAGATGCTACAGATACTCCAACGCAACAGGATACGTCATCCGAACAGGTTCCTCGCCCCGCGCCTGGAAACAAGCGATATGGCACGCGCACTTGTCGCATTTGCTTCGATGCTGAAGAGCCGAAGTTTCCTGATCAGTCAACCACTTTTGGCATACAGACAGGATCATCTCGACCTACATACGTCTCTGACGACCCGGAATTGGGAAGGTTGTTATCACCATGCAAGTGTAAGGGATCACAGAAATATGTCCACGAAGGGTGCCTCAACGCATGGAGGCTTGCAAACCCGATGGAAGCAAGAAACTATTGGCAGTGTCCAACTTGCAAGTACACCTATCGCATTTCTCGACTGCACTGGGGCTCTGCTCTGAGCAGCAAGGTGACGCAGGTTGGCGTGACCATCTGCTTTTGTATACTGAGCATCTTCTTGCTCGGATTTGTCGCGGATCCTCTCTTCGACTTATGGCAAGACCCGATTGGAACCCTCGGCGAAACTGTCACAAGCGTGGTAACAGACATCGAGGCCCTCAGGCAACCTCCATCACCAGAGCCTACCACGTGGATCGAACACTTCATTAAAGGGTTCTTTTCCCTAGGAATTTTCGGATTGTTCAAGACCATGTTCACAGTGAACCCGTTTCACTGGTGGCAAATCCGAAACAGCGGGTTGACAGGTGGTGGCAGGAGAGGGGGCACTGGTCGAAACCGTGTCGAGAACATTAGCCTGATATTCGTTCTTATTGGCGCATTCACATTTCTCATGGGCATTTGGAAATTTGTGCAGAAGCTGAGCGCTCGTGTGCTCAAGAACGTGAGCGACAGGGTCGTCGATATTGAAGAGGATGATGACGAGGACGAGAGTGAGGAATCCAATGAGGGAAGCAAGAAAGATCAATGAAGCCCTCCAAGCTTTTCTATCCTGGAAAGGGCGTTTTGTTCCATGACCCAAATACGTCGCATCGTGTATGTATTTGCACACTCTTAAGTTGCCTAGACCTTGCTCTTCCATGTCAAGTCGACTAGTCTGTGTGCAAAGATTTACGCTCAGTTGTGCCTTGAGTCGGGACCGTTTTGGTTCTTTTCTCGCTGGCTAGCATGAGATTATCAGTCTTCATTCACGCATCGTGGCGTCTTTGGGCGTTTCATAACGGTGTGCGGCATCTGCTGGGTACACTACCCTCGTACATAAGCAGTGAGCAGATGGCCGAATGTTGGTTGATACATACCACCGTCTCCTCTAAATAATAATTGATAGCCAACCATTGGTACAACTTAATTCCACCTACAGTTCCTGAAGCCTACCTCTTAATTATCTGAGTAGAACAATGTGCCGATTGTAAGATCGCTCGCATTGCTGATGTTATTCTGATACTGACAACATCTGCAATTGGTACGAAGAAGACAACGCCCTATATATATCCAGCATCAATACGAATTTTCATCGTATTCTTCGTATGCTTCCATTATTCTGGTGCTATCCTTGTTTAAGTCGGATCTTTATGCCCCCGACACCGAGATGACGTTCGAATTTGGGGTCCTAATCCCTGCACTGAATACGGGTAGCCTGACAGTAGATGTGGATCAGCGCTCATGAATTCCGTCGGGCTGGACAAAAAGCCAATCTATCATCAATCGACGGCGCCAGCCATGGCTCCTTGAATGTTTTTGTGATCTGCTACGGACCTCATTGTTCGTCTTCGCTCGCTTCTTGATCTCTCTACACGACTACGGACCTCGATTCCGAACCCAGTTTTGCGACAACCGCCATCGAGTTCAAAAAGACCCTGGTTATCTGTCAAAGTGACCACGATCAACGATCCCTCGAATTGTCGCATTGGCTATTCTCGATCATCGTGAACAGTATAACATCTCCCTCGACTTACAGAACCTCGAATCGGCCGGCGCCGACCTAAGCTTGCCCACCATGCATTTCGCATACCCTCCTCGCAAGAACTCCAACCCACCACCCTTCGGACGACGATCTGGGAATATCCCACCGATGCTACGACGTCTTCGCAAGAGAACGATTCTCTTAGGCTTCCTTGGTATCGTTGGACTGGTATACCTTCTATTCGGTTCAAGTAGCGGGGCACCCTACCACGAGCATAAACCATCAGGAAACCCTCCGGCAGTCATTGTGACAGTTTTCGATCATTCGCAATACAGTACCTCTTATTTGGAGTCGATTCGAACAAATCGTGAACATTATGCCAAGAGACATGGTAAGACACTCACAGGTCTTCAGTGCGAAGGCGTGAACTAATATTGACCCCAGGATACGAAGCCATGGTCGTAAAAATCGACGATTACAATACAGGCGAATCTCCCAAGTCATGGGCCAAGATCATGGCAGTGCGCCATGCGCTCTCGAAATACCCCGATGCCACCTATGTCTGGTTCCTTGATCAGAACGCCTACATCATGCAGCTGGACCAGACATTAGAAGAACAAGTTATGAAGCCTGCGACGTTGGAAGGACTCATGATTAGGGACTGGTCTGTAGTACCACCTGATAGTATCATCAAGACGTTCTCTCATCTCAAAGGCGAAGATGTGAACCTGGTTATCAGCCAGGACGAAGTCGGACTTGTAACTAATAGTTACGTCCTGAAGAACGGCGACTGGGCCAAATTCTTCATTGAGACTTGGATGGATCCTCTATACCAGAGCTACAACTTTGAGAAGGCTGAGCGACATGCCCTTGTAAGTTTAACCGGCATCTTGCCCCTCAGTCTCATCTAACCTTTTCCTGCAGGAACATATCGTTCAATGGCACCCAACCATCCTCTCCAAGCTCGCACTCGTACCTCAGCGCTCCATTGCATCATACGGCCGTAACAAAGAAGGTAATGCCTTTAGAGACGGCGATTTTGTTACGCTGATGGTCGACTGCACCGTCACAGGCCAAGCATCTTGCGATAAGCTATCGCACATCTACCAGAAACAGCTGAAAGCCAAGTTTGGCGAGGACGCAGCTTAGAAGAGAAAATGAGCATCATGACATAGGCATTTGAGCACAGGTCATTGGGCGTTTTGTGATATACTGGAGGGGCTTGCTTATAGGATCGGAGAAGGGAAAAGCCAATAGTGACTCCTTCTTGGCGTTTGTTGGTCATTTACTGGTTGCATTTAGCTTATATGTTGAAGATGAACATTTGATCTACTCATATATCGTCGATGGTTGTGTGAGAAGTGTGTTTTGAGAAAGGATAGTTCACAGCGGACATGAGTCCGTACACTTGAGTTCACCTTAGCGAGATTCTGGCAATGATAAAATCGACCAGATCAGATGTTCGTATTCTAATTCTAGAAGGTGCCGCAGTTGACCACCGCAAAGAAGCTAGGACCTCTCGTAGAATGAACAAGGATAATGTAGTCGCAAAGATTGCCTCTCTTCGGTAAATGAGTTTCAACGTTGGGGTTGAATAGTTTCAACAGCAAGCTCTTAGTTCTTGCTCTAAACATCTTCTTGGCCAATGACTTGACAATGGATGCGAGTGCGAGCGAGTTTGCCATGAGATGGAGATCTTTTACACCGGAAACCGAGAGATACTCAGATCCTTGTATTGTTGTTCTAATCGATTATAGTTTGTATCCCCCGGCAGTTTTGATGAAACCCTCCACGCTCGTCCGATCTTCCGAATAATGTCTGAACTACTAACCTTACTATCTAGATGTAGATAGTCCAGAAACACCTCAGGGTCGTACAAACGAGCGAATTCTTATCACCAAACTTGATAGAGCTGCATTGCCGGCGGGCCTTTAGCCCAAAGAGGGTAGTTGATCATATCCGTCACAAACTGTGTTCTAAACGAGACGTCCTACATCACCAGATGCAACAAAGTGCTTCATAGCAAGCAACTCGTCATGTACAATTACGGCGTAGAAGACAGGGATGTTCCCCCATGGAGGGTCGCTCGCCTCGGCCAGGGGACGCGTTGGAGGGTTCAAGCACTATAACTTTAGGGGCGTTCCATAGGTTCCCGCGGAAGCCGGTCCCCCGCCAAGGCATGTGATGGGTGGCCGAGATGCGCTAAGAAATATCCAAGTACTGGCTATGCCCCGCGATATTAGAGATGGATCTCGACGTCAAGCTCCTTTCTGCTTGGGTTTTTATTTAAACCTCGAGCAACCCACCTCTCCCTTTCCAAGAAAAAGTTGTTCGGATTTGTCTTTCATTCTCATTTGTGTCTCTTGTTTCAATTGTTAGAAAAATGGCTTCTCCTCCACATGTCGGGAGCCTCTCCCGTCTTCCTGCCAACTTGCGCGGTGGTATTGAGTCTGTCAAGCGCAGCCGACATAATGTGTCTTGGCCTTTGCTAAACCTTGACCTGTAAGTCATGATGCCACTTACAGCACATCGTCATGATGCGCCACCAGATGCAACTTGACAATTGGTGTCGCAAATACTAACAACGTCTGTTTCTATCACAGATTGCGCAATGTACTCCTATTCCTCTTCCTTTGGCGATGGACTCGTCGCGCATTCTGGCAGCTCAGAGGGCGTGGTATTATCGGCTCCATCTTGGAGCTATACACCAACATTCGTCGCATCCTATACGGTTACTTCCTACGAGCCCCCGGCGTGCGAGGCAAGGTCCAACAACAGGTCAATGAATCTCTAGCCAAGATATCCGACAAGTTGGTTCCCAAAGATCAGATTCGTTACCTTACTCTACCAAAGGAGGGTTTCTCCCATGATCTCGTACGCGGCGAGCTCGAGAACCTCGCCAACATGGATCATACTCGCTGGGAGGATGGTTATGTATCTGGTGCTGTGTACCACGGCGAGGATGAGCTATTGGCTCTGCAGACGGAGGCTTTCGGAAAGTTTACTGTTGCCAACCCTATCCACCCTGATGTTTTCCCCGGTGTGCGCAAGATGGAAGCCGAGGTCGTGAGCATGGTTTTGAGCATGTTCCATGCTCCTCCTGGAGCTGCCGGTACATCTACCAGTGGAGGAACTGACAGTATTCTTATGGCTTGTCTCGCAGCTCGCCAAAAGGCTTACGCTGAGCGTGGAGTGACGGAGCCCGAGATGTAAGTCAAGCTCAAGCATTGTGCCACCAGAGACCAAGACTAACCAGTTGTGATAGGATTCTTCCTGAGACAGGCCACACTGCTTTCCGCAAGGCTGCCGAGTACTTCAAGATCAAGGTTCACCTCGTTGCCTGCCCAGCTCCCGAGTACCAGGTTGACGTCAACGCTGTCCGACGTCTGATCAACCCCAACACGGTTCTCTTGGTTGGCTCTGCTCCTAACTTCCCCCACGGTATTATCGACGACATCGCTGCTCTATCGAAGCTTGCCCTCCGCAAGAACCTTTGGCTCCATGTCGACTGCTGCTTGGGCTCCTTCCTGGTTCCTTTCCTCGAGCGTGCTGGTTTCGAAACTCAGCTTTTCGATTTCCGACTGAAGGGTGTTTCCAGCATTAGCTGTGACACTCACAAGTACGGTTTTGCGCCAAAGGGTAACTCGACTGTTCTCTACCGAACCGCCGAGTTGCGAAAGTTCCAGTACTTTGTGTCCCCTGATTGGTCTGGTGGTGTCTACGCTTCTCCCGGTCTGGCTGGTTCTCGACCTGGTGCTCTTATCGCTGGTTGCTGGGCTAGTTTGATGACCATGGGTGAGGCCGGCTACATCGATGCCTGTACCAAGATCGTGGGAACCGCTAAGAAGATTACCGAGTCTATCCAGACTACCCCGGCATTGGGTGGCGAGCTTGAGATCATCGGAAAGCCTCTTGTTTCGGTTGTTGCATTCACGGCGCGCAACTTGAACGTCTACGATATTGCTGACGGCATGGGTGCTAAGGGATGGCATCTCAACGCTCTTCAGAGTCCTCCTGCTATCCACGTTGCGGTCACTCTACCCATTACCAAGGTCTGGGAGAAGCTCGTCTCCGACCTGGAGACTGTTGTCGAGGAAGAGCGTGAGAAGGAGCGTGTTCGTCTTGTTGAGGGCAAGGGAGCACATGGTAAGGCCATGGGTGACGCCTCAGCACTGTACGGTGTTGCTGGCTCTTTGCCTAACAAGAGCGTTGTTGTTGATCTTGCGAGTGGATTCTTAGATCTGTTGTACAAGGCGTAAATGATTTGGGTTACAAAGGGAAAGGGTGGCGCAAAGTAGTGGCTATCAGGGACTGCATTTTTTTTTTTCATCACGGGCGTAGGCGTTGACGTCCACATGGGACGCTTATCATGTATTGACACCTGCGGACCGCACCGCTATTGGAGCTTTTGAAGGGATTGTCGTTACCTTTGCCATAGTTATTTGATGTTCAGAATCGAATGGAATGATAAGCATAGTCGAGTACCAATCGTGTCGTAAGATTCGAAGGCGAAACCTTGATCGTGATCTAAAGGAATTTCCAGCCCGTAAGGAAGAACGAATAGGGTATTCCGTTCCTGACTATACCTGTTCCTAGTCTGCGTAACGCGCTTAACGAGTCGAGTGTTTGGGAAATGACATTCGTATCTTTGCAGACCGCAAGTCTCTCTTTGCATCTAGTCAGTCCTTGATCCTCGGCAATCGCGTTGAGCGCTCCAATGTCAAGTGCTCTATACACTGGAGATTCGTGGGTCTCTCCATTCTCCAGACGTCAGACGTCAAATGTCAAAACACTTGTTCGTAAATGATTCAATACTGAGATTACAAAGTCCTTGGTTGGTCAGAACATCTGCCGAGCCTTGCGATCTCACTCACAACTTATGCATCACATATGTCATCCAAGTCCAGTCCCACTCTCTTGCTTCTTTTGGTCTCTTTTCCCTTGCGTTTCACATCTACATTTTGTTTCAATTTTTGTGTGCTTTCGCCTCCCTCGCCTCATGTTCTGGTCTTCCGGGGAGAAGGAATGAAATTATCCAATTAGTTTGGATGGAACGTTTATGCGTGTTCCAATTGGAAAGGAGCTTTGTTCTGGGGACGATCACCTCGTGAACGTTGCGGCCCAATGAAGAGGGGGAGCGTGGTTGGTTAAGCTGTAAGAGGGAAAGGATGGAAGGGAAAAAGGGTCCTTTGGTGTGGTGGGTTGGGTGAGTGACTTGACTTTGACTGTGACTGATGGGTGAGCATCCATTTCACTTTCATGGGTGAAAATCAGGGTTTTTGTGAGATGGAGGGAGTAGCCGAGACAGACTCAGGTTGTGATATGTTACGATATCGTTTAAATTATATGCTTCTTCATAACATGTTGTAACATGTGGTTTTTAATCAAGATATTTAAATGTCTATATACCATAAATAGTAAATAATTGCCTCTTCTTAATACCATGGAACCGTTACAGTTGCGCCAGACATAGAAACATGTATGTCATATTGGGCCCAAAATGCAGGGATCTATCAAGCTGCACCTTGACCACCAACACCAAAGAGACTCTAATCCTCCGTAAAAGCTTCAGCTCGCCCGACCACACAACGCAACGCAACCACGATCACTTCCTATCTTGTCATCCCCACGGTGAGACCCTTGGACTACTTTCACTTCTCTAGTTACTCTTCTTTACTGTAATGTTACCGGCGGGCCTCAGGGCTGCTGCGTAACCCAACTCCATTCCAGAGGCGATCCCTGTCTAGTTGCGGTCAAAGATGGTCCATTTCGTGTCATGGTCCAGGTTTCTTTTCTGTAGTCTGATAGTTTAGTTTAGACTACTGTCTGTCAGTTGATATCCATTCTGCATGTATAAGCCCGACATTTCGTCCCTTCTCTAGTCAACCAACCTTATCCTACCTCTCCTCTGCTTTACTCAGCTCTTGTCACTTTTGCCCTTCTTTTTTTATTTAATCTCTCTTGCTGATGAAGCTGCACTTTTTGCCTTTTATCCACTTGTTGTTTTAATTCCCTTTGTTTCTCGCATAATCCTTCTCGCTCTGTGTTACCAACTTTGCATTCTTCTTCTATTCCATCTTACATGCTGTGTTCTTCCTCTCCTCAAAGACAACCGAGCTACTACCGCCGTGTGAGGTTACCATGTTTGCTGAACCATCGCCGTCCCCGATGGGCTCGTTGGCCATGAATGGAGGTGCAGTTGGTTCGAGGGTGCACAAGGCGGAGACGAAGGGGATTCAAATACCCCAGACTAGAGCCAAGGATGACGATTCCATTGCTTCCGGCTCAACTGCTTCGACTGATAGTCAGATGAGGAAGCGGATGAGCACAGACATGTCTAAAGAACAAGTTGAAGATTTGGTGAGAAAGTTGACGATTGATGAGATGAAGACGAGATGGTTCGATGAGATCTTTGAGAAAGTCAAGTCTGAACGTAAGTTTACTTTATCAATGGTTATGTTGCAAGCAAATTGACCAATTTATAGTCGTCGAAGAGCATTCACAAACAGACAATACACCCTCATCTTCAGAACCTCCCAGTCCCAAGTCAAATCCGGTCAAGCCTACACCGTCTCAACAACCAGCACCCCAACAGCCAGTCCGAGAAGATGCGAAGAAGCCTGAACCAACAAGTTCACCAGTCGAGACCAAGAACAAGCCCAGTGATCCCATATCATCCAGCCGCAGCTCCCTCGGTACTACTGGCAGCCCTTCAACATCACATGTCTCAGACTCTACTTCCTCCAACCAACTACCACCACGATCAAAGTCAGCTCCAAGAGAAACTTCACCTCCTGTCACGAAGCCACGGCCTTCTGTGCGATTCTCCAAGGCCCCTATCATCTTGAACGAAGATCCTGAGCCACCTCGGCGTACCTCGCCAACACGTCCTGCATCACGATCTGGACCACCCACGGAGCCATTACGACATGCCGAACCACCACGTCCGGCATCGCGAGCTGGACCGCCCACCGAGTCACTACGACATTCGGAACCACCACGCCCGGCATCACGAGCTGGACCGCCCACTGAGCCACTACGACATGCTGAGCCACCACGTCCGGCATCACGATCCGGGCCACCCACTGAGCCAACAAAACAGGGTCCGATGCTGTCGGCGGTTGATCTGAAATGGGGACGACTGTTTGACGATAGGGGTGATCCCACTGCAAGACTTGGCCAGGTCCTCCGGGGAATTGCCAACTATTTGGTAGGTTATCAGTGTAGTTGTTATGTTGCTTGTGTTAACCATGATAAGGTTGCCGAATACAGCCCTCGCAACTCACTCGTCGTCACACCGGAGAAGCTCAAGGCTTTCTACCACGAATACAAGCTTGACAACGAGACATTCCCGTTCCAGCGTATGTACAAGTTCCCATCTCAAACAGCCACCCTCTAATCATACCAGAAATCTTTGACTGCCGACCCCACGGAGCTCTTGATAGTCTCGAAACACTGTACCAGCATCTTCGATGTGAGAACCACCTTGTCCAAAGACGACCAGGCGGTATGCCTCACATTCCCTCTCTCACCCCAGCTGGTTTCGAGCACTGGATGACTTGTCAAATCCGAGCATTCCCTGACCAAGAAGCCAAGCGACTGAACCACATCATGGCTGATCTTCCGATTATCGCCGACGGTGCTTTTGAAGATGGAAAGCCTGAACGACTACCGAAGCAGCTTTCAAGACATCTTCTTCCAGCAGCTCGGCATCGTGAGACGCATGATCTTGTGGTCGATGCTATTACTGGATGGGTCAAGCATACCGCGGAGAATGAGAACGATCTCAGGAGGAATTCATCCGAGGACGTTTACAAATCCTCGTCGAAGGAGGATAAGGCCGGACGATATAGGCCTGATGACTACCGTGATCGAGACTCCAAGCATCGTCGAGGACCCAAGGACGATTATAAGCCATCACCATTACCTCGTTCTGAGCCTTCTTCACACCGGTTTATTCAGCGTCCCAAATCAGAAAACACCATGCGTCCTTCTAGGGACTCCCCAGTACCTTCAGGTTCAAGTCACAGAGCTAGAAGTCCAGTATCGAATCGCTATCGCAACTCAACCCCAACAGTCGAAAGCAGTTCTGGTACACCTGATAACTACGATATGCCTGCTCCTGTCCATCGAAACAGTTATCCCAGCAGCAGCAGTCGTCGCAATAGAGACAGAGACTATCGATGCTCGTCAAGTCGGGATACTAAGTCGCCAGTCGAAGCAGTTCCTCGATCATTACCTCGCAGAGACGGTGACCGTCGCTCAAGTCTAATCTTCGAAGAGACTGGGAAGGATCCGAATGGAATGACCTACGACGAGTACTTGCGCTTGAATCCACGACCGATGCGAAATGCTGTTGTTGATGATGGCGGCCATTATCGAAATCTTCCTTACTCCAGCGGAAGCGATGAACGAGCCCGATGATTCCTCTTCTTTGAAACAACTTCTTTTTCTTATACATTCTTGGGTGGCCCACTATACGTAAAAGTCTCGGAGTTCTTGGATATACGAATCTTTTTTTTTTTTTTTTTT